CTCCTGCCCTTCCATCCATCTGAGAATTTTGGTTGCCGTCTGCTTATTCATTTTTGTTTTTCTGATGGCCAATAGGGCTCGTCGCAGAATCTTGTTCGGGTAACACAGCATCCTTGCTTCCGTAAAAAACATTTAAATCACTCCCACTGTATCAGCTTGTGATGTTGTATTTGACATGATTCTGTGTAGTGCGCTAAGAACAGTAATCTCCTTAATTTTATTTGGACCAAAACTCTTGTAGTGTTTAATCGTCTGAAAACGTCCGAAAAACCCCTCTTGGAGTGCGTTGTAGTTCTTCAGATGATGTAAACACTTCAAGAGGGGTCCTTTGTCTTGATGAATGATCCTCGTCTCGAGAAACTTAAATTCTTTAGTTGCTATGTCTGCAGTGGTTTCTAGCTTCAGCGTGTGATGATAACATTCCGAAATTTTAACAATCAATCTTTCCACCTGTTCTGTGTTTTTTCATGACAGATACCCGCCAAGAACACATCATCCACAAATCTGAGTCCGTGGACGGGTCTCTCATCAGAACCTAAGTTCTTCCTCCAGCATACTTCATCATAGCTGCATACCAGGTTTGCTATGGGAGGGCTAGAGCCTTTTCCCATAGGAATGCCTTGTGTCTGCCTTAGTACTCTTCCTTGCATCAAAAAGAAAGTGTGGGATATATATAACTGAAGAAGCTTTGTTAATTCTCTAATCTTAATTGTTTTCCAGCCCCATACGCGGTTAGCTTTCCCGAGATCAATCTTCTTTCCTTATATTTTAATTCTAATGTGTGTGTGATTATGCTCTAGATGCATACAAATAAGCCAATCAGTTGCCTTGAGGATATGGTTGTGGTCCAAGCATGTAAACATATCTTTAACGTCGTAGGTGGAGGTCACAATTTTAGCACAATCACCAAATTGCTCACTGATTCACCTGATTGATCCTTGGTACGAGTTCGTTCGTCCCTACCATCCCAAATCCACTCTCTAGTTTCCTTGTGAGGATATTAACAGTGCGGGAGAGGAATTTCGATGCCCTTAGTGAAGGTTCCTCAAAAGTACGCACTATTGGTCGTCTTTTGTGGACGTCCTTATCTTTGGGCATTACATAAGCAGGTCCATATGTTCCTTTCTTATTCCACGCTGCGATTTTACCGAGTCCCATTCCTTTGTATTCAATCTCGCTCTTATCGATTACATCTGAAATACTCGAACCGACCTGCTCATAATTTGGAACCGTTAGAAACATCTCATTCATTTTTTTCCAGTAAACTTGCGGACATTCAATGTATGTTTCACCCGGATTCTTGTCGAGTGGTGAACAGACCAGCCCATACAGTCTTTTTTTTCATTTTCGGATCTCGGAGATGCTAATCCCCGCCTGCGGATAACACTCATTCTTGATGCATTTGCTCACATCTTGTTGTGTCCATTGATTTCTGCACTATTGATGTGGAAGTGACATGTGCGCTGCTTCCAACGACTTACATATTGCTTTCCTTCTTTCCTCACCTTGAAAGAACGGAACATTCTTTGCGTTGATGAGCAGAGGGTCATCTGTGATGTCTGACAGTCTACATGATACATGCGACGTTATTTTCGGAAAGTTGAATCGAGCACTTGGGCATTCCGGCTTCTCCACAACCATGTAACGATGATTATGGAGAATGTCTCCGATCGTTCTTGATTTTGCAAACATGACGCATGACCTTCTCTGGATAATGTTAACTAAAGCAGGATGTGTTACCTCATTGGAGATGAGTTGCTGAAGTAAATTCCTTACTTCTGCTAACTCGATATCCTGAGAAAATTGAATTCTCACAATTAGCCGTTTCCTGATATTCACTTTGAATTTCCGCGTAGCGACTCTCGATATACATCATCTTAGGATACCCCGACTTTTGCTGGAGCCAATATACCGCATCCCAGCGTATAGTCTAATAATCTTAGCGAGTGTAAATCTGTAAAGTCTAGCTCTAGTCCAGGGTGCTCTTGATAGTGATATGAGGACTCTTCTTTGCTTCTGTGCTCTACTTTTTGTCTCTACACAACATGTTATACGAAAGGTACAACCTGCCTCGATAGTTCCTTTACTTTCCTTAAGCGTGAATCTGTTGTCATCAATGGTGATTGCGCTAACCCCAAACCTGCGCTTAATTATTTTCCAGTCTTCTACCCAGAGTCCACCGGCGCTGGATATGATACATGCTGTTGGTTTCATTAGTGAAGTGAGCTTCGTTGTCGTCGCCTCTTGATTACTAAACACGATCGGAATATCTGACAAGTCAGTCCGTGATAACTTACGTGGTCTCGTCTTCCTCCTTCGCTTCTTCCTTTTTGTCTTCTTTATTTTATGTTGTGTATTGAGATATGGATTTCATTTCTGTATTACTTTCCTCTCTACGTAGGCCACATCCGTGGTTGATCCCGCCCATATCGGTAGACATACGTACTTATGTATCCCGAACTTACCTACCCAAGAGTAGAGCTTCTGGTGCTGCTTACGTTCTCTCCGGAGTACAGTTGCCGCATGTTCTCTCCATCTTAAATCTATGCCCCTTACTGTCTTTCCCACATAGTAATGCCTACACCATACTAAAATCCATACATATACACAAGTTTCTGCGTCAACCAAGCTATCCCGATTCAGACCCTGTTGCTTAATTATTCCAGCCACCTTTGTTGCCCATGGTAATGCGTTCCTCTTTATCAGTCCCAATACGGATAGTCTGTATACTCTGTTAACTACCCGACACTGCTTCCAGTCCTTGACCCTAATCAGCATTTGTATTCTGTGTGAACGTTGAGTAACTAAATCACGCACAACTGTAGTCGATAGATTCGGAAAGGCTGTAATCTGCACTTGCTACCGCTGTGCTGGTTCGATATCCCTTGAAGCATCCGACCCAACGGACTCTTCAACTTCCTCAAAAGCTTCGTCGTTATCGTCCTCCTCCTCTGAGTCTTCAGTCTCCCCGGACGGATCCTCGTCATGGCTTCTCCCATGGACTTCTTCACCATCGTCTCCTGTTCGTGAAGGTCCTCAGTGATGGATACTACCACACCTGGTACCTTCCTGAGTGCTACACGTGTTTGCGGCATACCACGGTACTTCACGTTGTGCTTGTTGCACAACTGTTTCAGATCCTCCATTTGTAGAGCGTTGAGCATGTTCTCCATGATCTGCTTGCCTTGTAGTATTCTCCGCCTAGCCGATGTCCTCACCGCGCTGCGCCTTGGGTCCTTGCTTGTATGGAGAGCCTTCCGAATCCTACTTGTTCTCGCCCCGTTAGCTGCTGAAGTCTTCTTTGTTGGGGTCTTCTTGGAAGTGCTCCGTGGTCGTGGTGAGATAAACTGACTTCTTACTGGAGTCTTGTGAATTGCTCCTTTTAACGCTGCTAGATCGTATTGTAATTCCCTCATTTGTTCCAGCTGGCGCTTCACCGTCTCCGCCTTCGTAACCGCGTCAACTGCCGGATTGCAGACCTCCTTCGCAGGATCCTCGGACTGCTTCTGCTCCGCTTGCTTGCGTACTGCCTCCTGAACTGCGCTTTCAATGGTGTCCTTCATCTTGTCTGCTTCCTCTTTCGTTTTCACCTGCCTTTCCTTCAATTCGTCTGACATTTTATTGACACGTTTCTTCAGTCTGTCCAGCTCCCGCCTCAGGGCATACAACTCATCCCGCAATTCCACGGTGAACCACGCTCGATTCCCCGGGGCTGGCTTACTGCATGGGAACTCATATCTCCTGTCTTCCAGCTCCCTTGAAGTGCTCCGACATCTTCTCCTGCTAGCTGATGTTGAAGTCGACCTCGATCTACGTCTATCCCTTCTCCTCTTGTCCTGGTGCGATCTCTCCAGTGATCGTTCTCATCTGGGCGACCTCCCTCTCCTTGAATCATCCTTCCTCTTCCTATGGTCAGGCGATCTGGATTTCGAACTGGATCGTGATCTCCCCATTCTTGAAACGCGTGACAATAAGACGCCTGCAGTGATCAGTTACCACGTCGTCACTCCTCGCTCGATCCTATTCTCCTCTCGCGCTCCTCGTAGCTCCGACGCCACTTATCACTGTGCATCTGGTCTCACATTACTTCTGCGAAGCAAGCAGACAATCGCAAAAAAGAAGAAAAATGCAACTTGCTCCGAGTCTTCAACTCGTATGTTCACTCCCGCGGTGACGATCTATCACGATGACACCCACAAAGGCAAAGATCGACAAATGAAACTCCTTATCTCCAAGCCAAGCGATCTCCTCTCCGATTGCTTCGGATCGTCCACAACTCCTGTCTCCACTTGAAACGTTCACACCAATATGCTAGTGAACATGATCGATAAGTAAAAAAAAAAATTCAAACGCCAAGCGCTCCAAGCTCGAATCAACGTGGTTGTACTAATCACCTGCTAGAAAAGAGAACAGTCATCCTTCCGTCGATAAGCTCAACGGAAGGTTCGCCTATCGACCCACCCGGGTATAATATCCCGTAGGCTCAAAATAGACTGCGTGAAAACTCGTTCATATAGATTGCACAAAATGTGAGGCTTTAATCTCGTGGAGGACATCTTGTGCCATAATCAAAACTGATACTAGTGTGCGC